TTCTGTAAGGAAGACATTCCTGTCTTCTGTTGTCACACAAGCACATACAACAGGATCATTGTGAACACTGCTCCACCCATCAAGACTCAGGTTAACAATTTCACCCTCAAGACCAGGGATTGGCAACCTTTGGTATGCGGCCCATCAGGGAAATCTGCTCATGGGCCGGGACAGTTTGTTTACCTGCAACTTCTGCAGTTTGGCCAATTGCACTCCCACTGGCTGCAGTTCGCCATTCCAGACCAATCAGAGCTGTGAGAAGTGGCATGGGCCGAGGGATGTGCTGGCCGCTGCTTCCCGCAGCCCCCCTTGGCCTGGAACGGCAGACCACGGCCAGCGGGAGCTGCGATCGGCCGAACGTGTGCACACTGCAGGTAAACAAACCATCCTGGCCCAATGGATTTCCCTGACAGGCCACGTGCCAAAGGTTGCTGATGCCTGCTCTAGACTTTTTGCACACTGCTCAATTTCTCTTTCATACACTTTATCCAGCAATTTGCCTGCGACATCTGCTCTGTTGGGTGGACTGTATCCTGGTCTTAATGACTGAACCATGCTAATGAAGTGTGGGTTCTCAATCATACAGAAAGGAGAGTTTGTTGGATATACAAACCAGGCAATTTTTTCATCAATTACCTCTTTTTGTAACCTGCTGGTTCTTATCACAAACTTATCTATGGTTGTTTCTGGATGATGGAGATTTTTTTTTTTTTTTTGCGCTACAGGTGATATACTGTGGCTATATGACATACATGATGTGACTGAAACACTATCATTGTCAGATAACTGAAACTATAGAAAATAATTGTGATCTTGAAGGTGAATAGTCTTCAGAATCTTGTATGTTGAGGATGGATTCTCCTAAACAAAATAAGTCAATGCAGTTATTTAATCATCATCATCATCCTGCTTATTTAGTATTACTCATTGCATTCACTGACACTCAGTACTACTTTAAAGGTGAAATTGTAAAAGGAAGATCTGCCTATTTCAGCTATTTATTTTTTATCACAACTGCATCTAAAATGACAGTACCACAGAGTAACAACTATATTTTTTGCTCAAACATGAGAATTCAAGAATAGTCCAGAAGGAAGAGAGGCAGTCCTTAAGAAAGAAGCATGAAATAAAGTTTACCAACCTGAAGATCCTGCATGTTCAGACATATTCCTTTCTTCATCTTCAACGTAGCTTCCTCCTGAGAAGGAACACTTCTCATGATGTTGTTTCATTCGGGCAACCAGGCCTTGCATTTCTTTGTTGCACTGTTTGCATTTTGCATGCATGCCTGTCTGACCCACAGGTAGAGGAACTTCATTCAAATATTCCCAAACTGGGTCTCTTTTACAGCCTGCTGCCATTATAGGTTTTCCCTTCTACTGAGAGAATGGTATGGTAGATCTCAAATCAATGAAGGCTACACTCCGAAAGACTTCTGGACTATGCTGCTCGAACAGTTTCATTTTTGTTTCTAGTGCCTGTCCCTCCCTTCTCACATTTATCTCCAGACTTCTTCTTCTCGCCAAGATTCTGCCCCCAACAATCTTCTATTCACTGAACTTTTTGAAACTTTGCACTTTTAGAGAGAGGTGAGGGATTGACGGTGTACACAAATTTGCAAAGGGACAATAGGGTTGAGGTCTCGTTTCTCACCTCTATATATTATTTATTTATTTATAAACATTGTTGCTGTTAACAAGCATGTTGTCTCTGGAGACAAAAATCCACTTTTTGAGAACTGAAAAACTAAGCATCTCTGATAGTGCTCAGTCTAGAAGATACCGAGTCCCATTGGGTAGATAGAAAGATTTACCTAAATAAACTAGACAGAAGCCCCTGGAACCCCATAAGATTGGGTCCCTAATCCATGAACTATTGGAACTCATTTACAAAACTTTTCTTAAACATTACATGAATATATTGTCTCATACTATAGAATTAGAATTTATAATCCCTATTTCATGATGAGATATCTTTGCGCTATAATGTATCGTAATTAAAAATATCTTTAGATCAGATTTTTTTTATTTAAATCGGATTTTTTGATAAAATGCTTTTTGAGGAAAAATCCATTTAAATAAAAAAACTGTTTTTTTTTTAAATCATTGATTTTTATCCACTCTGCACAGAATTCACGTCAAATGCAGATTTCTTTGCTTCCACACAGAAAAATGATTTTCTGATGGGGAAGCAAAGGGAAGCCCCAAGAGCGGTCAGGCACCCCTCCCCAACAGGGCAGGTGCATTATTTCCAGCATCCAGAGCAGCCATCAGAGAGGTAAATCATTGCGGGGATGGGCAGGTCAGACCCCCACCCTTGCCCAACCCCCATGCGTCCAGATCCCCGTCAAGATTCACACCCCCACAATGAGAACCCCCGGCACTGAGCCCACCGCACCCAAACCCCCACGCTGCCAAGTCTCTCCCCTGCATCCAGACACCCCACACACACCTGGTGCTCCCCAGCCCCACCCCAGCTAATGGCTCCTACCCTGTGCCAGGCTCAGCTGCTAGTCCCAGCTGGGCTGGGGAAGGAGCACGCTTTCCCTGCACAGAGCAGCCAGGACCCGGTCAGATCATAGAATCATAGAATATCAGGGTTGGAAGGGACCTCAGGAAGTCATCTAGTCCAACCCCCTGCTCAAAGCAGGACCAATCCAGATGCAACCCCAGAAACCTCCCGCAGCTCCACACCCCCACCCCGCTTCCTGCCCCCATCACTCCTCAGCCATAGGGGAGGGGGGTCACTGTATGGGGAGCTAATCCCCCATCTGCCCAACCCCCTTACATCCGGACCCCCCCCCCCATACCCAGACCCCTCCCGTCCAGCCCCACCTCCTCTGTATCTGGACCCCCACCAAGCATCTCCTCCCTGCATCCAGACCCCACCCCTGCAACCAGACCAGCCCCCACTGAGCCCCCTGCACTTGAACCCCCATGCGGATGAGCCCCACCCCATATGCACCTAGACCACCCCATGAGCCCCCCGCACCTGGACCACTTACCCACTGAGCCCCAGCCAGCTGCACCCAGATCCCCACACCTCCAAGCCCCACTCCCCAGCACCCGGACTCCTCCACTGAGCCACAATCACCTTCACCCAGACCCCCCTGCAGAGTCCTATTGCCCCTGCACCCAGAATCCTCCCTCAACTAGCCCGTGCCTCCAGATCCCCCCTGCATCCGGACCGTCCATTGAGTTGTCCGCACCCATATTGCCCCACACACAACTCTCTCACCCCACACCTAGATACCCCCACACTAAGCTCCTTCACATTTGGACCCTGCTGGCCTAAGCCTGCCTGCCCACACTTGGTGGACCTGGCATTGGGCTGCTAACCTTGGTGAGTTGCTTTACCCACTACTCCTGAGGGAATTCAGCACTGAAAAATTAAAAACTCTATGCACAGTATTTTAAAATCCTGCTAATTTTATTTGTGAATAAATAAATGTGGAAGCTCCAGGGTAGCAGTGGGGCGCACAGGCCACTGGCTGCAAGGAGGTGGGAGATCACCCAGGACACGGATCTCTAGGGCATGCCTGACCCTTGCGCTGTGTCAGGGTCAGGTGCAGCCTCACTGCCTGCCGAGTCTGTGCCCTCGGGGAGCTATAGGGCAATCTCCCACCTCCATGCAGCCAGTCGCCTGTGCTACCCACTGCCATGCTGGACTTCCACATTTATTTATTGACAAATAAAATTTGCAGAATTCTATAATATTGTGCACAGAATTCCATCAGGAGTACAAGAGAGGTTGACCCAAGAAAAGGTATTACGTGTCCCACCTTGTCTTTCTTGAACTTTGCTATTTAGTACTAGTTGTGTTTCTTGTCTTTCAGATTTAAGAGGATCCAACCACTCTGTACCAGTATGCTTATGCAGTCTCCAGGCTAAATCCAAGGATATTCTATTTCCTCAGTTTTGTCCTGAGACAACTGTGCAAAACTAAACAGCTTCCACATTATGTTTAACACCAACCCATGGAGGGGTCTTCTTTAAACATCATAACTACAAGTGTCCCATAAGAATACCAGCATCTTTTAGAACGCTTATTTACCTGTAAAAATAAAATGATCTTTCGCTAAGTATTAAGCATCAAAACTGCTGATGAACTACAACCTAAAACAGTTTAAGACTAGAACAATTTTAAAGTGTATTTTTGTTCTGTTATCTATTAACAAAGACACCAACTGCTTAAATAGATGCAGTAACTAAATGTTTTATAAAGCAATCAGAAAAATGGTAGTCACCGATTTGCTACAAAGGCACCGAACACACTCAGAACCTGCATGGAAACGCCTGTACCACCAGGTACCACTGCTTCTAAAAACAGTCCCTGCCCCCAGGGTACACTGATTTTGCATCGGTTTGTTTTCCTGGGGCTGTAAGTTCGTGCAACCAGCTCTCCAAGTAAGTTGTGTACTAAGCAAGTGGGTCTGTGGCCATCAACCAGCGGAGCCTCATTCAACGTACGCAGCTGCGCACAGGAGCGCGATAACGGTCAGCGTATGCTAGGGTACCCCCCGCGCTGCCCGCCCTGCCCACTCCGCCGCAATGCCAGGCTCTCCCGTACGCCCTCCTGCCCCGCCCGCTCCTCCGCACCCGCTATCCCCGCCCTCTGCCAAGCGCCACAGTCCTCCCCCCCCCCTTACTTCTTGGTGTCGCTGCTGAAGAGCCCGAAGGCCGCGGGGACGGAGGGGGCTGTGGTGGGCGTCGCCTCCTGCCCCTGCTCCGGCGCCGCCTCCCCGCCCTGCTCATTGTAGCCAAGGTTGCTCGCGGACATGCTGCGGCGGCGGCGCTATTCTCCTGGCGGTTGCCCTGTCGCCGAACGGAACTTACTCGCGAGCGCACGCACACCGGACCAGACTCTTCCCGGAAGCTAACGGCAGCGGCTGGGGCTGGAGGGGGTGGGGGTGTCACATGATGGGGCGGAGCTGCAGAAGCGGAACTTTCCCAGTCTCAGAGTTCTAATGTTACTATGGCAACTCAGCGGCCGCCGGCCCGGAGGGGAAGAGAGAAGGCGCGTGAGGCTCCGCCCAAGCTGTTGGCGTGACCCGGCGGCCTGTGAGCGCGTGGTGTGGTTCCGTCACCCTCCTCCCTCTCCACTGAGGGGAGAATCGGCATCTTTGTGATGGGGGACAAGGGCGGTGTCTCCTTCCTGAGGCAACGTCCGGTGCCGGGCGGAAGGGAACAGCCTGGGCTAGTGTTGGCACCCAAGGAAGCAATACAATATCCAAACACAGGAGCAGTTCACAGGTACAGTGCTACAGCCCAAGGCTTCTCTGCTTTGCTCCAATGGCACTCAGCTAAGCCAGAAAAATTTACGTCTGATCTTACAGCACCACCCCACCTCATGCAGCATGGTGCCTTTGGCTAAGTGGGGAATAGGAAGGGGAGATTTAAAAAAAAAATAGAATGCAAAAAAATGTCAAAAAGAAAAAATTAACAAAGACGGGGAAAACAGGAAACAGAAAATAATTAAGACCCATAAGTCAAAGAAAGTGATCTTCAAATTACACATTGCTTAGTGGTTCACGGAAGTAATGCCTCTGTTCAAGGATAAACTAGAAGATGTAAAACAAGTATTACTGAAAATGAACAGAATGATAATGCCCATGTCTACGTGAAACAAAGACCTAGAAAATGCTAATAAGAAACATCTAGGAACAGAGAAATTTAAAGGATAGACTCATAACACTATTTACTGGCCCAATACTAAAATATTAAACAAGTACTAAGTGCAGGTTTTAAATATTATTGAAAGGAAAAGAACCAATGGTATTATTTACTGTGTAGCCAGCGGTGAAAGTAAGGCGATACGGGCCAGTACGGCGTACCGATAAAAGATAGCTGCCAGTACCAGCCTGTACCACTGACTTTAAAGCGCTGCCGTGTCCCTACCAGCAGGGCCGCCAATGCGGGGGTGCAAAAGGGACAGCAATGTAATGTCACTGCCCCTTTTGCCCCACACCCCGGCCGCCGAAGGGGTGGAGGGGGGCAAAAGAAGTAGCTGCCCCAGGGCTGCAATTTAAAAGGGTTAGGGTTAGGCCCTTTAAATTGGCGCTGGAGCCCCGGGCAGCATGGGCCAGGGAGCTCAGATGGACTGGCTGGGGGATGCTGACCCCAGCCCCGCCCCTTCCACCCGAGGCCCCATGCCTTCCAAGGAGGCCAGAGCAGCCCTATACCAGTAAGAGCTCCATTTTACTTTCACCCCTGAATGTAGCACTTGCAGGGTGCTAATGGTATTTGGAATAAAGCCTGCATATCTGCTGGGCTTTGATTCATTTCACTGTAATAGAAAGGAATGTCTGTTCATTAATGATTATTATTTCATCTTTCCAGATATTGAGAATCCTATCAAGCACCATATCAAATAGGAAATCTATATTCACTAGTAACATAATCCCAGCAACAGTTGTCACAGATAATGGCTCAGGTACTGTATAATGATTTTAAAATGTTTGGATCAACTTTCAAACCTGCTGTATGAGGTCTAGTATACTTTATCTTCAAGTAAATGACAAGGTACAAAGGGAAAAATATTAAGCATCAGATAGTAACACAACTGCATAACTGTCTTTCTTTGTTTATCATACAGTACCATTAGAATATGAATTGTCTCTTGTGGAACTATTCCTGGGATGGAAATTTTGTACAAGATTTCCTTGAATCAATAAAGCGTAGCCTAATCCATTTACATAAAAATAGACCATTAAAAAGGAAAAAAAAAAAAGAAGACAGGACAGCAAACAATCTTGTTATGTCCAAGGTTTTTGTCTAGACATTGAGGCTTAGGGCTAACATATATTAACTATCCATGACTTTTTCCCTATCATTGAGGCAAGTTACCACTTTTCACCTTGATTGTGCCGGTTAAAGTCAGCCCTAGGAACCTTAGCTTTCCCTTGAAGGTTGACCTCGACCAGCTATATTGAAGTAAAATGTATTAACTTGTGTCTATAATACAGGAACTGGTTGTGGTTATATTGAGGCCTGGTTTAGCTAATATGAGTTAGCTATCTCCAATTTAACCTCTACTTCTTGTCCTAATCTAGACAAACATACAAAAAAAGAATCACGATAATAGTATTGGTCCATTACTATATGGAAATGGTAGAATTATCAATAATAATACAGAAAAGGCAGAAGTATTTAATAAATATTTCTGCTCCCTATTTGGGGAAACAACACATGATACTGTCTCATCATATGATGATGTGATGCTGTGGCCAAAACAGCTAAGGCAATCCTGAGGTTCATAAACAGAGGAATCTCAAATCAGAGTAGAGAGGTTATTTTATGTCTATATTTGGCACTGGTACAACTGCTGCTAGAATACTGTGTCCAGTTCTGGTGTCCACAATTCAAGATGGATGATAAATTGCAGATGGTTCAGAGGAAAGCCACAAGAATGATTAAAGAATTAGAAAATATGTCATAGTAATAGACTCAAAGAGCTCAATTTATTTAGCTTAACAAAGAGACGGTTAAGGAGTGACTTGATTACAACCTATAAGTGTCTACATGGGGAACAAATATTTAATAATGAGCTCTTCAATCTAACAGAGAAAGATATAACATGATGCAATGGGTGGAAATTGAAGCTACAGAAATTCAGACTGGAAATAAGGCGTACATTTTTAACAGTAAGGGTAATTAACCATTGAAACAATTTACCGGGGTCATGGCGGATTCTCTGTCACTGACAATTTTTAAATCAAGATTGGATTTTTTTAAAAAAGATATGGTCTAGGTCAGAGGTTCTCAAACTGTGATCCGTAGACCACTGCTCCATTCAGATGGTCCATGGATAGTTCCCTCTAAGGTGCGTGCCTGGGCGGTTGGACACGAGAGAATGAAGGGCCACCCACCTAATTAGTGGAGCCGCACAGGCTAGCTCCACTAATTAGGTGTCTGGATCCTGGAGAAGATGCACATGTAAGGTGAGGTGGTGGCTTTGGGGGGAATAAGGAGTAGGTGGGAGGGGGCAGTGGGGTAAGAAGAGGGGGTGAGAGGAATTTGGGATGTGCAGGGCTGCTGTGGCCAGAGAAAGAGATGACTTTCCCCAGCTCCAGAGCTGCAGCTGTCGGGGAGAGATGGTTCTCCTTCCCAGCCTCAGCTCTGTGGCTGCTGTGGTGGGGGAGAGAGGGAGAGACCCCCCTCCTTCCCAGCCCCCACTCGGGGGCTGCCGCAGCAGAGGAGAGAGGGAGGGATCCCCCTCCTTCTCAGCCCCAGCATGTGGGCTGCTGCAATGCAGGAGACCCCCACTTTCCCAGCTCCACCTCAGGGGCTGCCACAGCAGGGGAGAGAGGGCACATCCATCACATGAGAAAGGTAAGACTACTGGTATTAAAATATGAGTTGTGTGCTTTTATTTGTAGAACAAAAAAACATTATTTTTTTTTTATATAGCGCTTTTATCCAAACCACTTTACAATAGTTAGCTAATGGTACAAACAACATTTGGAAAGATCATTAAGTGGTCCACCGAGACCCTCAGCAATTTTCAAGTGGTCCATGGAAAAAAAAGTTTGAGAACCACTGCCCTAGAGATAATTAGTGCATTACCAGCAAAATTATTTTGATCAAATTAACTGGGCAAGTGGAATGGCTTTTGAATTACAACCCCCTAAGCATAGAAAAATCATTTGTCTTATTCAAAGACAAACCAGAGAGACTGTACCACAGGGGCACAATTTTGAATGTTCCTTTCAGTTTCAGGCTACATCACATGCTCCAGTCTTGAACAGACACTGCACTGAGATGGCTGCAAGTGGAGTCTGTGACAAAAAAGCTTGATTAAATTTCTGAAATTATCATCTGTGTATCCAGTGTTGTTTCCAAGATAAATCTTTCAACTTCCTCATTCTTGATCTGCCAAGAAAATAATTTATTGGCCTTTTCACCCCTTTCATATACAAATGCAGTTGAGTGTAGCAACTGCTTACAGACCTGATTCTCAGCCAATTTGTTACATTCCTCCCAGAAACCATTTATAAATTATCAAATATTAGAGAAGATTTTTCAGTAGGGCAAATAACTGAAGTGTTTCACCCTTAGGAAAATGTCAGAAATAACTGTTCCCTGGCTGTCTGCACTCCTTTTCCCATTCCATTATTCATCCAGCAGTAGCCTCCTCAGTTTTTCTCCTCAAAAGCACAATACAAGTGGTGTGGAGTCTTCTCTTCTGCAGCTATTGCTCTCTGAAGGAGCTATTCTATATTTCTGGGCTTCATTAATTCTCCATCTCTTTTCAAAGCTTTTCTCTAAACATAACTTTCTCCCTTGCCTATACCACTTAATTTCAGTCTCCCGCAGCTTTCATGTTCCATTTTAACTTTATGGGGCAGAAGATCCTCGCCTACAATCTGGGCCCTTTGCATCTCTCAAATTGTGCAAAGGGGCTGAAAAGCAGGTGGCTCTCCTCAGCTGGAGATTCTCCTGGCACAAGGGAGTCTCCAGTGAGAAGAGCTCTGTGATATGCCACCCATTGGGACTCCATAGAACAAGGGATATGTTGAGTTCAGGGACGGGCAAGAAATTGGTGTATCTGGAGGACAACGCGCTCCAGTAATCCACAAAGGTGGAAAGCCCTTTAGCACTATATCCAGTCAGTGTAGATAAGAACAGTCCCTAAATTGTACTAGTCTGTGCTAAGTCTGGTGTAGAACTGACCCCAGGATAACAAAGGTGAAACTTACTCCCTTACAGTCCCCCTTCCTACAGCTGCACCAATTATTCAAAATTATTCAGTGAATAATTTCTCAAACTATTGCTGTGTAAGCTTCTTTACAAGCAGTTGACTGAGTTTTCTGTAGTCAAAATTAAAGCTCCTTTGACTGGACTTACAGGTCACATGGTATGTTTCTGTTCCTTACTTGAATGAGTATTACTCTTAAATGGAGTATTCTTGTGGCTCTGTTGATCCCAGGATATTAGACAAGGTGGGTGAGGTAATATCTTTTATTGAACCAACTTATGTTGGTGAGAGAGACAAGCTTTCAAACTTACACAGAGCTCTTCTTCATGTCATTCATATAACAAGGTTTCAAGTGTGAGTAGTTCTCATTATTATAAATTTGAAATTCTCTTTTTATGTCAATTTTCTAATGAGGCTATGAATATTCCTACCAGACAAATATTTGCAAATATTAGTGGCAAGTAAACACAGAGAGGTAGTGCAGATGAAACTTCAAGACTGTAATGTAGAGGGTTAATTGTTTTAGTGCAGCAGTCTGAAAGTAAAGCCACTATTGGTGTCTGCCTAAATAAGGAACTCATTGGGAGATGTTTGTACATAAGGTTCAGAGAATGCAAAGGCTGAAATCATGAGTAAGTGGAGAGTGATTTTGTTCCAGAAATTCAAGAGTGATGCTTTCCTTCTCATGCTCCTCTAGATGTGTGATGCAGAGGGAGGCCAAATCACTGGACCTTATGGAGCCATGGTTGGGGAACAACACAAAGAAGATAGACAGATAAGCAACCATGCACCTGAAACCCTCATTGGTTATAATGGTTCTTTCTAAATGAGGATAAAAGGTGTTTTTTTTTAAAATATGTTCGCTAACACATTTAAACTAATACATTTTAAAACATTAATGCAGACAGGGCACATCTATACTATAATGTGTTAGTTGAGGCGAACCCTAGAGGGGAGTCTAAGGTTTGCCTCAAGCAAATAATCTTGTCCACCTAAACACGTTATAATATAATTTGCCTTGTCTACCATAGTATTTTAAAAAGTGTTAGTTAAAATGTTACTTAACACATTTTTGGAAAAAATTACCTTTACCCTAATCTATACAAACTCTATTAATGGATTCATAGATTCCAAAGCTAGAAGGGACCACTATGATCATTTAGTCTGTCCTCCTATATAACACAGGCAATAGACCTTCCCCAGAATAATACCTAGACCAGCGGTGGCCAACCTGTGGCTCCAGAGCCACATGCAGCTCTTCAGAGGTTAATATGCAGCTCCTTGTACAGGCACCGACTCTGGGGCTGGAGCTACAGGCGCCAACATTCCAATGTGCCAGGGTGCTCAAGTTGGCCACCCCTGACCTAGAAAAGTAGTTCTCAAACTTTTTTTTCGTGGACCACTTGAAAATTGCTGAGGGTCTCGGCAGGCCACTTAATGATCTTTCCAAATGTTGTGTGTACAATTAGCTAACTACCATAAAGCGGTTTGGGTAAAAGCACTATATAAAAAAAAATTAACATTTTTTGTTCTACAAATAAAAGCACACAACTCATTATTTAATATCAGTAGTCTTACCTTTCTAATGCGATGGATGTGCCCTCTCTCCCCTGCTGTGGCAGCCCCCGAGCTGGGGTTGGGAAGGAGGGGGGTCTCTCCCTCTCTCCCCCAATGCAGCAGCCCCCGAGCTGGGGCTGGGAAGGAGGGGCATCTTTCCCCCACCCCCACCCCCACAGCAACCACAGAGCTGAGGCTGGGTAGGAGGGCCATCTCTCTCCGGCAGCTGCAGCCCTGGCGCTGGGAAAAGTCGTCTCGTTCTCTGGCCACCGCATCCCTGCACGTCCCAAATTCCCCCCGCCCTCTCTTCTCACCCCACTGCCCCCTTCCACATACTCCTTATTCCCCCCAAAGCCACCACCTCACCTTACATGGGCGTCTTCTCCATGCCTGTGCAGCTCCACTAATTAGGTGGGTGGCTCTTCATTCTCTCATGTGCGACTGTCCAGGTGCGCACCTTAGAGGGAACTATCCACGGACCACATGAATGGAGCTTGCGGACCACTGGTGCTCCATGGACCACAGTTTGAGAACTTCTGCTCTAGGACATGACTATATGTGTACTGTTTCTTTAAATCTGCTTCAGAAATCCAGGCAGGGGAAGGTTTTATGCATGAGCTCTACCGTGAAACAGAGAGAGAGAGAGAAAAACTTTAACAATAACTCTGTTTTCTTATTTAATTAAGCTCCTTTTTCAGTACTAGAAGAAAGTGACTCTGATATCACATTATCCATGATACTGATTAACAAGCCTCTTAGAAGACACATCCTTAAAAATGATACAAAGGAAATTGTAATTCTAATATTTACTCACATTATGTACAAGATTATACAGCAAAGAAAATTGAAATAAAAATGCAATATGTGGAAATCACGTTACTAAAAATTATCTTGCACAGACATTCCCAACCTTTTTCATAGTGTGGGCCACATTTTAATACACAGATTGGTGGATCACCTTCCGTTTAAAATCCCTATTAAGGCTGATTCCCCACTCTGGCACTTTGAGTGCAGAAGGTGGGGGCCCATAGATGCTGCCACCACCCAAGTGCAAAAAAAACCCTTTGGACCCAGGAAGGCACAGTTGGGAATTCCTCCCTGTGGAGTACCCTCAAGCCGTTTCACCGCCCCGCCCCCAGGGAAAAGCAGAGAAAGAAAACAAAGGAGATCAGCTGTTGCCACCAGCTAATTAAACCACATATGTACAAACCTCTTAGGACACAAAAAACCCAATCCTGTTCTTAAAAAAGGTAAATTTTATCAAAAACAAAAAAAAAAGAAAATACATCTGGAATGTAGGCTATGGCTAGATTTTAAAAAGAGCAAATATAATAATTAAGCATCAAGAATGGATTTTTTGAGGTCCAGCTTAAAGGCTACAAGCAAAACAAAAGCACCTGGGGTTAGCACAGAGGAGTCCGCAAGCCATAAAGAAATAAAAGGGATAAACCTAATCACGTCTTCCTAAACATTCCCTGATCTTCCATATCTGGGGTTTCAGATAAATAGTTTCAAGGTATGATCTGATGATTTTTCATACGTGGTTTAAAGCTTCTTACAGCATAGCTGCTCTGTGTGTCCTCTGTCTGGAGAACCACAACAGACAGACAAAGGGAAAGTTTTTTCCCAATTTTAAAAAGTTCTACCGTTCCCATTGGCTCTTTTGATCAGGAACCCACTCCCTTCCTTTCACCTGTGGGCTTTTTTAACCCTTTACAGGTAAAGCAAGTAGAAAACAGCTACTAACAGGGATTTTGTAGCTAACTGGCTGGCTGAGTGTCCATAAAAGGGAGCTACCCTCCCCTTCATTTATCACAATCCCTATGGCAACTACAGCAAGGACATGAAAAGGTAACATTAGAAAAGTATTTAATGTAATTTTAGCTGTCTTTTAATGCAATTTAGCATTTGAAAATAAGGAGGAGTCAGCACCATGTGATAAGCCAGCTCTCCACAGACTGTCCACCAGTAGTTGTCCATGGATCGCAGCTGGGAACCTCAGATCTAGTATATTTGTCCCTGCTAATGGAAAGTTTTGCTATGGAGAAAGCACAAATACTTTAACTTGCATAAATCACTCTTAGATGTTATGAACTGACTTCTACCAAGGCGGTATGGTCCAGTGGGCTAGGAGTCAGCAGATCTGGGTCTATTTTTGGCTGTGCTACCAACAGGCTGTGTGGCCCTGAGCAAGTCATTCCAACTCTCTGTTTGTCGGTTTCCGCACCTGTAAAATGGGAATAATGATACTTATCTGTCTCTGTAAAAAGTTTGGAGATCGAGGAAGAACATTGTATAAAAGCCAAGTACTATGATTATTGAGCCTGGACATCTCACTGTGCTTTGCACAAGTTGGAAGGTGTGTATGGCTTCCTGTAAATATCTTTGAGAATAAATGAATGACCCTTAGCATTCTCAGCCTTATTTATCTTATCAGATCCCATTCCCAATTCCCTCTCTGAAGGAATGAAAGGAAATCTGTTAAGCCAAGCCATTTCATTGGGTTCTTTCAAAAATATTACAATACTATTATAGATGATTTTTAAAAGTACTTGGGAAGTTATAGCACTAACTGCCCTTCTACTCTGTGTTCAGAGAGGCGAAAGTCCCGGCTTACTGTGGAGTCCAGTCCTTTAATTTCCACAGTTCTGTGCTGTAGAGTTCTCACATTCAGTGCTCCACAATAGAGTTTAACTCTACTACTCAGTACTTCAGTCCAAACAGTTCCTATGAGTCAGACAGAAATCCTTTTCTCTCTGAGGGTATGTATGTAGTACAGCAGCACAGCTACAGTGTGCAGCTGTGCTGCGGTAGTGCAGCAGAGTAGAGACTTTCTTCATTGCTGAAAGGGGGTTTTCCATTGATATAGTTAATCTACCTCTCCAAGAGGCAGTAGCTAGGTCAACAGAATAATTCTTCTGTCAACCTAACTGCTTCTACACTGCAGGTTAGGTCGACCTAACCACATCACTCAAGCGTGACATTTTTCACAGCCTTGGGCAAAGAAGCTAGGTCAATCTAATTTTTAAGTGTAGACTATACCTGAGGCAGTTAACTAAAAATTCAACTTTTTTCATTCTTAAACTAATTTCAATGATTTGTTCTCATATGAAAGAAATATAGAAAAGAGAAAACCGGAGAGAAAAATATCACTTCATACTTTTGTACAGTTCTGTTTCAGAACCTGTGCTAGTCTGAACTCTGTCTTGCACAACAGATCAGATATGCTTTCTTACAGAAGCTCTCTAGGAAAAAGCTTTCTGCTATATGTATAACTAGTACCAAAAAGGAGATCAATCTCGCAGCTGCTAACCAAGCTGAAAGTGGCAATGGATTTCCTTTCAAACTTTGATAAAATGTTTCCCTGACAACTCATGAAAACCTCTGAAAAACATACTCTTTAGAGACGATTTTGCTTATGTGATCTATAATGTCCATGCTTCTCTTTCTCTCTTTTTATCAGCAATGACTGTTATAAAATCAGGGAGCTTGATTCACCCCTGCTGGTACAGGGAATGAAGAGCACGCCGACCTGCACCGATGGGGTCATTCACCACTAATGGCGAACAGGCTGTATTTATACTACCTCCTTCCCCTGGGTACCCTCAGGGAAGAACAGTTGTTGCCCCTTTTGAGCCCACGTGGTTAGCCAGTATTCACAGCCTTCCAAAGTTGTTTCCATTAGGAAGCAAAAATTGATGGTACAAGACAGGCATTTCTTTGGTGCAATCCTGTTTATTTACAAAGAATTACACAAAATCTTATTTCCCTTTGGGAGTGGTGCACAGCTTTCTCTCCTCCCTGCCCCCCCCAAAAAAACCTGATTGGCAGGGGGGAGAAGAGGGCAGCACGCCCTGGATTTCTCACTATAGTATCAACTCCTATTATGGGGGTGGGAATTGCTTCAAATACCTGGGATGGTTGCAAGGGATTGACTATGAAATGTCTGGTTCCCATTGGAGCAGATAGGCCTCACTCCAGAAGAGAACCTGATAAGTGGTCATGGGAGGACTGAGCCCCACTGGCACATGGGAGTACCACTCCAAAATAAAGACAAGGTATTAGGTGTGATCCACTAGATGGACGCTGAACAGAGGAGCAGATGCTGGGGAGTGGGAGGATTTTCAGTTGGAGCAGCACTTGCTCCAGCAGGCTAGAGAAGAGGAGGGAGCTCAACTGAGCACAGAGAGGACAGACATGGGGACTCAGCACCCACAGCAGCCTGAATCAGCCCTGATCCATGCAGCAGAAGCTAGGAACAGCACCTGAGTTCACAGAACACTCTGACTTCAGAACTGGCCACAGGCACTGACTTTTGGTTTTGCTGGTGGGTGCTCCATGCCCACTCTGCCCTGAGGCCCCGCTCCCACTCAGCCTCTTTCCCTGAGGCCCCCCTGCCAGAGTGCCTCCCACCAGGGGTGAAAGTAATTTAAAGGACTTATCGTATGCCGGAGCCCTGCGTGGGGGTGTGGCCTCAGCTGGAAGAGGTGATTTAAAGGCCCCGGAGCTCTGGGTGGGAGCCCTGGGTCCTTTAAATCACCCTGGAGCTACCAGCGGCAGAGGCGGCTGGGAGCCCCGAGGCTCGGGGTGAATTAAAGGGCTTGGGGCTCTGGCCACCACAGCGCTCCAGGCATTTTAAATCCCTTCTGGAGCCCAGCTGCCAGAGCCCCGGGGCTGTGGCAGCCAGGCTCAGGTGGGGATTTAAAGGGCCCGGTGCTCCGGCCACTGCGGGGAGCCCCCGCCCGAGCCCTGCTGCCAGAGCTCTGGCGGCGCTTTAAAGGGCTTTGGGCTCCCCGCAGTGGCTGGAGCCCCGGGCCCTTTAAATCCCTGCCGGAGCCCTGCCGCCTCTACCCGTGGCGGCGGCAGGACTCTGTCGGTGCTTTAAAGGGCCCAGGGCTCCTTCCAGTGGCGCTTTAAAGGGCACGGGGCTCTGGCCGCCACAGAGCTCCGGGCATTGTAAATCCCTGCTGGAGCCCTGCTGCCTCTACCCGTAGCGGCGGCAGGACTCTGGCGGTGCTTTAAAGGGCCCAGGGCTCCCTCCAATGGCAGGAGCACCGGGCCCTTTAAATCTCCGCCAGAGCCCGGCTCCAGCGGTGCTTTAAAGGGCCTGGGGGTTCTGCCACTGCAGGGAGCCCCAGGCCCTTTAAAATGCAGCCCAACCCCCGCTGCTGGAGCTCCAGAGTTGATTTAAAGGCCCCGGGGCTCCCAGCAGTGGCAGGAGTACCGGGCCCTTTAAATCACCACCGGGGAAGCCAGTCCAGTCTGGCATGGTGTACCACTAAGTGTGGTGTCTGGCCCTAGGGTTAACCCTTGCATTCCCAAAAGAGGGGTTGGTGTGCAGTCAGATACTGGGGACCTGGAATATTCCTCCACAGCCCCTGGGGGATCCCCTCCTGACATCCTGAACACACTAGACACAAACAACAGCAGAAAGTTTCCTTGCTCACAATTTCCAAGCCTGCCTTTCTAGTGAGTCCTGTGCCCTAAGGAGCACTCTCTCTCTCTCTCTGCCTTTTTTCGGGGCCATGCTGACAACTGCTTCTCTCGCTATCTATGGGCTCCGGACTCCTCATTGTATTTATCTATGGGCTGTGTGCTTCTTACACACACAGAGCTTGCCAAACAAGCCCTAGGCCCATGCATTTGCAATCTGTCCCTGTGAAACAGTTGCCATGTGGCCCGGTGCCTTCGGGGGTAACTTCTATTGTATCAGCTATCATTACAGAAAAACAACGAGGAGTCTTGTGGCACCTTAAAGACAAGACTAACATATTTATTAGAGCATAAGCTTCCACAAGACTCCTCGTTGTTTTTGCTGAAACAGACTAACACGGCTACCCCTCTGAAACTTGTCACCGTTACATAAAAGGGGCCCAATTGTTTAGCCTGAATGAAGGGTGGTTACTAGCACACCCCTCATCTTTAACCAGGTCTGTGATTGATGGAAGCCATTAACAGCTTCCAGGCAACACAGCTGTAAAATATGGGTTAAAGAAGCTCCTGGGAGATGTGCTAAGTCAATACATTTCATGGGTGCCCTGGCCAAGCCTCAGATCCTTTCTCTCAGCAGCACCAGGAATTTCAGACTTGATCTTATGGCACCTTAGAGACTAACCAATTTATTTGAGCATGAGCTTTCGTGAGCTACAGCTCACTTCATCGGATGCATCCGATGAAGTGAGCTGTAGCTCACGAAAGCTCATGCTCAAATAAATTGGTTAGTCTCTAAGGTGCCACAAGTACTCCTTTTCTTTTTGCGAATACAGACTAACACGGCTGTTACTCTGAGACTTGATTTTGTCACTACTTTGCACTGCTGTGACCAATTCTCCAGACAGACTTTCACTGCTGGGGGCCAGCTGCCTGCGAGCAAATCAATCTCAATGTTTTTGTTGCATGAGCTAATCTTTCTGTGCAAATAATTACTTTCTGTGCAAATAATTTTATGTCACAAATGAAGATTATGCTTAGGGTGACGAGATAGCAAGTGTGAAAAATTGGGAAAAAGGGTGGGGGGTAATAGGTGCCTATATAAGACAAAGCCCTGAATATTGGGAATGTCCCTATAAAATTGGGACATCTGGTCACCCTAATTATGCTTCCTTCAAGAAATAGCAGCAAAAGCAGTTGAATTCTCAGGGAACAAAGATCTTGAACACAGTGTTTCAAACTTGAGTGCCTAAAGTTTAGGACTGGAATTTTTAAAGGGGGATAAAGGGAATTGGGTGCCCATTTCAGTTGGGAGTCAAACTATCATATGCCCCCTTTGAAAATCCCATCCTAGATGCCTTTATGACCTGATTTTCAAAGAAGCTGAGGACTTACAATACCTGTTTAAATTGCAGAAATTAGTACCTGTAAAAACTAGACAACTTTATTCAAGTACCTAAATATGGCTTTAGGTGCCTAACTTTTGGCACTCAGGTTTGGAAATTTTGGGAAGAAAAACCCTCAACATATGCTACAGTGTAGCAACAAAATTATCTGTAAATAGAATGTTTTCTCAAAGTCTTTTGGGAAGTAACAGTGATTCTTTAGGTTTCAAAGTAGCAGCCGTGTTAGTCTGTATCCACAAAAAGAATAGGAGTACTTGTGGCACCTTAGAGACTAACAAATGTTTTAGAGCATAAGCTTTTGTGGGCTACAGCCCACTTCATCGAGAAACTGCTGAACTTGAATTAATATGCAAACTAGATACCATTAACTTGGGTTTGAATAGAGACTGGGAGTGGCTGGGTCATTACACATATTGAATCTATTTCCCCATTTTAAGTATCCTCACACCTTCTTGTCAACTGTCTAAATAGGCCATCTTGATTATCACCACAAAAGTTTTTTTCTTCTGCTGATAATAGCTCATCTTAATTAATTAGCTTCTTATACTTTGTATGGCAACTTCCACCTTCTCTGTAAGTGTGTGTGTGTGTATATATATATATATATATAAAATCTTCTTACTATATGTTCCATTCTATGCATCCGATGAAGTGGGCTGTAGCCCACAAAAGCTTATGCTCTAATAAATTTGTTAGTCTCTAAGGTGCCACAAGTACTCCTGTTCTTTTAGGTTTCAGAGTAGCAGCATGTTAGTCTGTATTCGCAAAAAGAAAAGGAGTACTTGCGGCATCTTAAAGACTGACAAATTTATTAGAGCATAAGCTTTCTTGAGCTATAGCTCAATTCATTGGATGCATTCAGTAATTCTTTAAACATGGAGCAAGGCATGAATTCCTTGCTAAAGTTTCCCTATTTACCACACTGTGCATATCTTTCAAGTTTCATCTAATGATCTACAGGACAACCCTTTACACTGTTTGATTACCTGCATTTCCCTTCCCCCTACTTTCATGCATCACTGGTTTCCTTCTACACATCATTAGGTCATTTCGACTCATTCAGAATGGCATTTGACTCCCCATATTAGAGGCAGAGAGAGAAGTAGTACTCTCTGATCACAAAGAAAGAAACTGATCCAATGGCATGGGAGTATCATGAGCACTATTCATAAAGTGCCTAGTTCTGGTCTGTGAGTCAGCAAGCAGAATTTATTGTCTACAGTCAACCTACCATGCTATATTTGTATTTATGAATACACACATCAGAACTTGATGTCCCAAGGCTTATGTTCTCCTGATATGTGCAGAGCTACCATTAAGGTGTGTATCAGAAGGGGAATATGTACCTAGGGTTTTTTCTGGAATGGTTAATGAAACAGCTTTCTTTTCTCAGTGGTAATTCCAACTTTGAGCACCAGAGGTAGATGTTTTCCCAGAAAACATCCAACAAATATTCTCTTTTTTGATCATCACTCTCCATTACACCGCATTGAAATCTCTAGAGATATTGGTCACCAATAGGATTATCCAGCTGCTGCCTCTCACTACCTTGAAGTCAGGTAACTAACTAGCAGTTCACGTTATCTGCTTACCAGAATCAGCACTAAAAACAAAGCAATGTATACAGAAATTTTCAGCTTGAAAGCAATGATGTAGTCATTTTGTTAAATAAATTCCTGTGTGTTCCTGTTTAAGCAGCAATGTAATGTCCAGAAAACTGACTTTGCAGAAAGGGATGACAGTCACAGTAGTTCCTTACTAAGCACTTACCCTGCTGCAAGCACAGAACTACCATGATAGAAGCTTCTTTGCTGCAGTCACTGCCTGAGTTGCTAATAGAAAATGGTTACTAGTGACTAAAGCCCCAGAAGTTGGATCAGGGCTGGGTAGCAGTATTTAGAAGGCCCTGTTATGGGAGTTCAATTCCTGCTTTAGTTTTTTTTTTTTAATTTAGCTGAGAGAGAGGGGTCTCTGTCCCTTTTCCTTTGTCCCTTTGTCCCTTTCCTTTGCCATCATGTAGGAAGTTACAGGTGGGTGTGAGGGCTAGGAGCTGCAGAAGTAGGGAAGAAAACAGGTCATGAGTGGGAAGTGTCCCCCCTCCACAAGAAGCATCCATCAAACCTGATGCTAGGTGGGTGTTGGAGTGGGAGTGTGCCTCTTGCTTCAGCAATTGGAGGTGCAGCTCATGTAAGAATATCTGCAGTCCCACCCTAGGTTTAATCTATCTTGCCCAGCTACAAATAGCACTGGAGACACAGTGATGCAGGTTTCAGTGCAGGCTATACAAACCCACCCGGAATCCTGGGTACATAGTCATGTGATTAGCCTGCCCCAGGGGCCATGCCACTCGGTCTTCACTGCTATTTTTAGCTGTGCTAGCTAAATTAAAGCTAGGGTGGGTACACCTACACAAGCTGCAATCACACCCCTGATTTCAGTATGAAAATGTGTGTGAGAATTGAAGGATACAGTTCTACTACTACAACAAACACAATCTGCATTTTATGGCAATAATTAATGAACCCACGTAATTAATACAACAGAAATGTAATAGCCTTATGAAAAGGGAAGCCTAATCCAAGTACAATTTTATAAATTCTAGAACAGGGATGAAAATATTGTTGTTCTTTTGCTGAGCCATGTAGGTTTTAGGGGCCTTGCAGTTCAGTTTCTATTTTAGGCCAGAAGTCAGTGACTTGGAGTCATCCATTTTTTTAGTGTATTATATTTATTTAGAAAATGTACAGAAATCCTGTTTCCTGGAACAGAGGTGGTAACAAATAGCACACAGCCAGCTCCCTCTTGCAGAAACTGTAGCAGGGCACTCCTGCCCTGTTTCTAGAAGCAGTTGTCATACACCTCATCCCTCTCCAGGCCTCACACAAGTCTAACTTCTTAAATTCTGTGGTCCTTTTCTTTCCTCAATCCCTTCATTTTTTTACCTGGCAAACCTCTGGTTCAAGGCTGTTCACCTAGCCCATATGGCCTAGACAGGTGACCTGGGCATCTGTACTTTTGTACAGCTGCTCTGTAACACAAAGGAGCTTCAAGGGCCAGACAAATGAGTGCTTTAAGCCCCCACAATGCCCTTACAACTCTTTAGGTGGGGTTACTACATGGCATCTTTAGAGCTCTTTCTTTGGGGAGTTTCATCCTGACTGCTTATACATCACTGACCCCTAATGTGTAAGGCATTAGTGCCTTTGATCAAAACAATATACAGCAAGTTATATTGTAAGTTATAATGCTCTTTTTGGGAGGTGGTGGCCAGCTCATCCCTCGGCCCGCACCACTTACCGCAACCCCCGTTGGCATGGAACAGCGAACCGCGGCCAGTGGGAGCTGCAAATGGCCGAACCTGCAAACGCTGCAGGTAAACAAATCATCCCAGCCTACCAGCGTATTTCACTGACAGGCCATATGCCAAAGGTTGCGGATCCCTGCTCGTTACCTATTCCTCTCTTTTCTCCCCTGAGAAATATCCCAGACTGACACGTAATTGTTATAATTGAGAGAACTGAATGATAAACAAATGGTATCTTATATTTTCACTGAGAACATTAAAAACAAAATAATTTCACATCACAAATGACATTAAACTGATTAAAAATAGAACCATACAAAAGCTATGTACTGCATGTGACAAGGAATTTCCAGTGGAGACTTAATTGTCAAGGTTGCTGACTTTCACTTTGAGTGATGCCTTACAATATGTGTTAAATACTTACGCTAAACCTTGAGTGGTGCCTTATAATATGTTACTCTGAAACTGTTATAATATGTGCTAACTACTTATGCTAAACAATCTGTTCCACTTTGCATTTTACTGTCATGCTGGGATTACCTTTCTCAGACCTGAAGAAGAGCTCTATGTAGCTCAAGAGCTTGTCTCTCTCACCAACAGAAGTTGGTCCAATAAAAGATATTACCTCATCCACCTTGTCTTTTGAATTTCCAGCAAGTTGTCCTAGATACAGGACCAGTCTCCAGAACAAGCAGTCCATGCCTCTTCCTAATGCTGAATGATTATGGGGCAGAACAAACAAGCCCAGTAAAATAAACAATCTGGGTTCTCTTGCCCTCCTGTCCCTACATATCCCTCTACCCTACCCTACAACAACTGCTGCCATCCTATCCTCTGCTCCTTCCGAGCTGTAGCTCTTTCCTTCTCCCATTTCTCCATACCCTCACTTCTTCATTTCCCTGACACCACTGTCCAATTCCATTCCCTACCCATTGCCAATTGCAGTCCCCTGTCCTTGTATATCCCACTGCCAGTATCAGTTCCCCCTTAATGCCAGCACAGAGCAGTTATTTAGGATTCACCTCAGCTCTATCTGGTCTGGGACAGTGCATGTATAACTGTCAGATCAGTGCCATTTATGCTGTCATCTGAGGGGGATATAATCCCTTCAGAAGCAGTTACCTCCCTGGGGTGGGTAAGGTGTTATGTGGAGAAAATCCCTTGTGGGAGCCAAGGAGAAAAATAATCTCTTGGGCCTTTAAGAGATTCCAAATGTCTCTGCCTCCAAACATCCCCAAGATTGTTTTCCTTGTCCCTGCTCCACTGGGTTTGGGATGGGCAGGAGAGATGGAGTCATAGCTCTAGGGATCAGAGGAGAGAGAGGATGTGAGAATTAGGGCATTGAGTCTTTGTGTGTGACAGGGACATAATGTGATTTGTGTGTGTGCATGGGAAGCAGTGAGTGTGACTGATGGATTCTGTGATGGAGAAAACAAGTTCTAAACTAAGGAAGTGGGGAAAAGATTGGGGGTATGGAAGAGAGAGGAAGAAGGGATATATGAAAAGAGACTGGAAGGGAAGGGCTTCAAGCAGAATCAAAAGAACATGGGTGAAGGTAGGAAGCTAACACTAAGACAGAAAGAGAGGAAGGGGAAAGAATGGGATGGAACGCAAAGTAAGGAAAGAAAGAACAATTAATGTATGTAACTGAAAAAGTATATATATTATCATAAGAAGATGCCCTCTCCTGTGTACACAGTAACTTATCCTTAACTATAGACTCTGTGGAGTTTGCCATTGATATAGCAGACTTCTCTTTATGGATTGTTTTGCTAAAGCAATATATTTCTTGGTTGGGTGAGACTGATTCATTATATCTTTAAAATCATGTAACATTACAAAGCTGTCAGATCTAGGGTTTGTTCTATCCATTACCATGTCAATTACTTGTCATGCCTGCTCTGCTGCATACAAGGGCACAATTATAGAATATTCCTTGGATTATTGAAATTAGATTCTACACAGTTGCATAAAGGACAGTACCACCTGCTAAACAAACTGGTACTTGCTTCACTTGCAAAAATCTTTGTATTTTATTCCTAAAAATACAGTATATCTACTGGGCCACAAAATGAATATACTCTGGCAGTGCAAATGTGCTGAAAAACTGCTCTAAATGGAGCAAAAAGAGACTATTCATTAAAAATATCATTTTGTTGTATATTATGAATGTACTAATTTATGCTTGTTTGTAATGGTCCCCTAACAGCTATTCTGCCCTCCAGGAAGTGCTTGATCTCAGCATGTTCTGGCCAATACCCCCTTATATGCCCTCTACACAAACCAACAAGCAGGGCAGATGCATTGGCTACAGAGTTTTCCATCCAGAGGGCATCCAAAATATATTACTTTGTGCTGACCTCTGGCTAAGGTTTGTTTAATGGTGCACTTTAATGTTGAGTTCAAACATGGTCATGGGAGGTCCTTTTGTAACACTCTTGGGGAACAATACACATGTTTAATGCCAAAGATGCATTTAACATGCATGAATGGCCTTTAATCAAACAGCACCCTGACCTAGTCTGTTTTTACCCTAAAATGTAAGCAGGGAAGAATAAAGGTTTACCTATAATTGCATTGGTGCTTCCTCATTCCCCCAATTTGAACATCAAATGAATTTATCATTTCAACCCCCAGCCTGATCCAGTGTGAAGTTATTCTAATAATTGATGGCTCCAACTGGCAGTCAAATGAATATTTTAGATAAAAGTTTCTAAAGAAAAATAAGTGATAAAATTAAATGTCTACCCATCAAATCCTAGGCTTAAAAAAAAAACACACCATATGATCCTGTCTCTAAATTACTGGTTTGCACTCCATATTGCATAATCTATGCTGGATCCTTGTCTATTCATTTTTTTTCTACTATGTTAGTGGCTCACATAACTGTCAGTTCCTGGCAATCAAAAAGATGCCCTTATACACTGTCCCCTATCCCCATTCCAGGGCTTAGAAGAAGGCTCAAGAAAAAAGGACTCAAGGCTTGGTAGTTAATTATATAAACTATCACACTGATCCCATTTTCAAGTATCCACAGAAATTATTAATTTCTATCATTCACAACTCTATAAATCCCATTGGAGAATGGTATTGAATTTCTATACCAATCATGCCCATATTAAATTATCTTGGCCTGTTTGTACTCTCATTTACAACAATGATAATCAGGAGTAACTCTGTTGAATCAGACCCTATATGTCCATGCTGCTGCCATACAGTACACCTATATTTCCAAAACTAAAGTGCATTATGGAACTAATTACAAATAAAATTACAAAGCACTATGGAATGATGTTCTTAGCTTTCTAAATGGAGAGTGCCAAACTGATACCCAGTGTCCACATCATGAGTGTTGAAATCCCTACAGGTAATTTTTCTTCATTCTCTCCATATATTAGCAGACTGAGGAAGACTTCTACCTGCTTGATTAGTTTACACTGTTTGAATATATATATTTTTTTATGTGATAAGCCAACCTGGTTAACTATTCTCCTGTGTCTATTCTTCCTTATACAGTTAAATTTATTGAAAGACAATTCCCACAGTATGTAGATGCAATGCAGTGCAATCTTTTCTTGACCCTGCCAATTTGTGCCATTGACCTGAACAGACCATTTTTAGGGTAACTCGTTTTCCATGTTAATAATAAACCCAGTCTTGCTCTCATTTGAGTCAACAGCAAAACTCCTCTTGACTTCAGCAAGAGCAGGATAAGGTCTATAATCCATAGTTTGTCTGTTGAGATTGTCAGCACAGATATTAAATTGGTGGTTTCTGTGTTGTAGAAGCTAACTGGCTACTT